CCCGCCCTCGACGCCGATCCCACCTCCGGGCTTGTGTCCCCTCCTCCTTGCAAACAAAGGACCCCATTTCCCCGATGGCTTGGGGGTGCCGACGCCACAGGGCAGGCAGCGGCCGAGCCGCGGCGGGAGGGCGCTTCCCAGAGCCCGAACTCGTCACCCCAGCTCTTTGGGAGGCCACGGCGAGAGGATTGCCGGAGCCAGGGGTTTGAATCTAGCCTGGGCAACACGGGGAGACCTCCTCTCCACGATGAGTATAAAAAAATCGGCTGGGGGCGGAGGGGGATGGGATTAACAGTCGCAAATATCTGTCTGGGGAAGGGGAAACACCTCTCATCAACAGGGTGCCTGAATGAAACGTAATTGTACACCTAACCCTTAACTGTACCCCACAAAAGCATAATTTAAAATATTGATTTAAAAAAAAATTAGCTGGGCGCGGTGGCACGTGCCTGTGGTTCCGGACACTTGGAAGGCTGAGGCAGAGGGATCCCGTGAGCCCAGCAGGTCGAGGCTGCAGTGGTCGTGCGCATGCCACTGCACTCCTAGCTGGGTCCCAGAGTGAGACTCTGATTCAAAAAAAAAAGAAGGCTGGGCATGGTGGCTCACGCCTGTAATCCCAGCACTTTGGGTGCCTGGACTTGGCGAAACTTCGTCTGTAAATAAATCAAATAATTAGCCCCCCATGGTCGTGCATGCCTTTAGTTCCAGCTACTTGGAAGGCTGAGGTGGAAGGCTCGTCGGAGGCCAGCAGGTGGAGGCTGCGGTGGTCTTGAGCATGCTAGCTAGGCAACAGAGTGAGACTCTGACTCAAAAAAAAAAAAGAAAGAAAGAAAAAGGCCAGGCTCCGTAACTCAGCTTGTAATTCCAGGCAAGAGGATTGCCTGACCCAGGGGTTCAAGACTAGCCTGGAAAATATGGTGAGACCTCATCTCCATAATAAAAAAAAAAAATTAGCTGGGTATGATGGCACTTGCCTGTGGTTCCAGCTCCTTGGAAGACTGAGGCGGAAGGATCGCCAGAGCCCAGCAGGTGGAGGCTGCAGTGGCCAGGAGCATGCCACTGCACTCCTGCCTGGGCCATAGAGTGAGACCCTGACTCAAAAAAAAAAAAAAGCACACACACGCCCTGACCCTGCTGTACTTTTTCCACAACCTGGTAGGTGCTCACACATGATTGGGCTGCAGGTCTGGAGCCCTTGTGGGCGGGCGTTGGGGACAAGGGAAGTCAGCCTTGGGGTGTGTGCTTCAGGGAAGAAGTGGGAGGTCCTGCCGACCCTCAGACACCCTCCTGGCCCCAGGCCTCCCGGGGACGCTTTTCACTTGTCCTGGACAGCTTCCCGGCACCCGGTGCTCTTCCCAAGCCCTCACCCCTCCACCCTGCTCGGCCTCTACTGAGGACCTGCCTCATGGTCTCTGGAGAAGACAGAGGCCATTTAATGTGAAGCGTGTGCCTCCTCACCTTCCCTCCCGCTGTGTAACTCCACTCGCCTTCCTCTCCAAACTCCGAAGAACTCTCTTCATTTGACCTTTGATCTGATCACTCCTCTCTTTTTTTAGATACGGGCTCTCACTGTGTTGCCCAGACTGGTCTCCAACCTCTGGTCTCAAGCAGTCCCCTTGCTAAAAGTGTTGGGATAACAGGCATGCGCCACCAAGCCCAGCCTGGCCTTTACCTTACATGATCTTTAAGAGCATCTGACTGCGTTGACCTTTTTATTCTTTTTTTTTTAGTTGGAGTCTCTCGCTCTGTTGCCCAGACTGGAGTACAGGGGGCATGCTTACGATCACCACAGACTCGACCTGCTGGGCTCAGGCAATCTTTCCACCTCAACCTTCCAAGTAGCTGGAGTTACAGGCACACACCACATCGGGCTAGTTTTTTTTTTTACTATATTGTTGTGATGAGGTCTTGCCAAGTTGCCCAGGCTGATCTCAAACCCAGGGGCTCAGGCAGTCCTCTCATCTCGGCCTCCCATAGTGCTGGTATGACAGGCTTGAGCCATCACACCTGGCCTCTGATTTTTTTACTTGACACAGATCAAAGACATTCTTCTCTCTGAAACTTGTCTTAATTTCAAAATATAGCCATATCAAACAAAAAGGGCAGACATAGTATTGGCATAGGGTGAAAGGTTGGGTCCTGTGTCTTTTCAAGTCCCTTTGATTTCTTTTGTTTGTTTGTTTGAGTACGATTCTTACTCTGTTGCCCAGGCTGGAGTGCAGTGGCACACTCACAGCCACCACAGCCTCAAACTCCTGGGCTCAGGTGAATCTTCTGCCTTAGACTTCCAAGTAGCTGGAACCACAGGCACATGCCACCATGCCCAACTAATTTTTTTTTTCTGAGTTAGATTCTCATTCCATCACCCAGACTGGAGTGCAATGGCACACTCACGGCCACCAGCGCTGACCTGCTGGGTTCAGGCAATTCTTCCGCTTCAGTCTTCCAAATAGCTGGAACTACAGGCACTCACTACCGCACCCAGATAATTTTTTATTTATTGCAGAGATGCGGTCTCAGCAAGTTGCCCGGGCTGGTCTTGAACCTGCAGTTTCAGGCAGTCCATTCGCCTGGACCTCCCAAAGTGCTGGGATGACAGGCTGAGCCACCGAGCCCACATTTTTAAAATTTGTGGTAGAGACAAGGTCTCACCAATTTGCCCAGGCTAGTCTTGAGCCTCTGAGCTCAGACAATCCTCTTGCCTTGGCCTCCTAAAGTGCTGGGATTACAGGCATGAGCCACCATACCCAGCTGCTTTAATTTCTAAATCCTAATTTTCCTTACCTAGAAAGTGAATTTCCCCTCGAGGCCTACAACAAGTTCACCTTTGCTGTAAAAATCTCACTTAAGGAACCAGCTACATCAGGCATGTTCACAGCAAGAAACAGATGGTATATCCAAATCAGGGTATTTGGTGATGGTTTAATAAAGAGACTGGGCAGCTGGGCTCGGTGGCTCAGCCTGTAATCCCGCACTCTGGGAGGCTGAGGTAAGTGACTTGCCTGAGCCCGCGGGTTTGAGACCCACCTGGGCAACTTGGCGAGACCTCATCTCTAC